GAGCCCCATGTAGGACTTGATCCCAGGACCCTGGCATCACTCCCTGAGCCAAAGGCACATAGATGCTCAACCACTGAGCCACCCAGGCATCCCGAGAGGATGGTCTTACTAAGGTGTCAGGGGTGACCTTTTTGCCCCCTACCCCCCTACCCCCTTTACTGTCTCCTAGGGCTTCAGCTTGGGTTGGGGGGTCAGTGGCCTAGCAAATGGGTCCCCACACATTTACCAGAGGCCCCCTAGTATAGGGAGGTGTGCTAAATAACTGCGGGAGGGTAATGTCAGGTGAGGGGTGAGGGGGTGGCTGGGGAACGTCAGGAAATGTGTTCAGACCCCCATTACTCACAGCCTGACGAACAACCCGTTAGGTGGGGGCTGCAAGCCACGGCAGGGAGAAAGGGTTCTGATCTGGTTTTGTCCGTCATCGACCTGCTACGCTGAGAGTCAGGTTGCCTCCCCTTTTTGACTGCTTTAGCAGGAAATCCACATCTCCAACCGCCTCTGGGAGCCACTGCCACAGTTCCCAGATTCGCCAGCTGATTCATTGTCCTCCTAGACAGGGACACTGAGGATCAGAGAGGGAAGAGCCCTGTCCAGGGTCACACAGCAAACGAATGGGTCGGTCAGAGTTTAGGGAGCACGGCAGCGCTCCGAAGAGGCCCTCTTCTGGTGGTCGGCTCTGTTTAACGTTGACCCTAAGTGGCTGTCCGGGTGAGCTTGCTCTGCAGCCCATCTCACTGTCGGAGCTCATTGAATCTGTTTTGCGTCCAGCTATTTTGTGTCTTCTCGGCTTCTAGAGCACATATGCAGGACGTTGGGGATGTCTGAACTGCTCACACAATTCAGCGTGGGCCCCGTGCCTCGGGTGGAATTTGGCTTATTGGAGCTGCTCAATATATATTTGCCAAGTGAATGACTTAGTAGCCAAGATGGGACTGGCTCCTGGGCCTGCAGGTTTTCCTCCGTTTGCAGTCTTCAGAGCAGCCCCCGACCCTGCCCTGGGTCCTAGGCCTTTGGAGTCCGCCCGCAAGTTTGAAGTAGCACCAAATGGCCGGGGGAGAAGGGGCTGCTGAGGGCTGAGGGGGGTCTGCTTTAATTGTCAGAGGCAGCTGGCCATTTGGTTTTGCTCAGATAAGCTGCTAAGGTGGAGCTCCTGTGTGTGTGAGTGCGCGCAGGGCTGCGGTGGGGGAGGGGGTGGTGTGAGGCTGGACAAAGGTGGGAGGAATCCCAGAGTGGGCTGGGAAGCCCCATTTCGTCCTCATCCCTGTCCTTCCCTCCCCTTCCCCTCAGATAACACCACCAGCTGTTCAGCACACAGCTGTGCTTTCTCCTGGGAAGGGGAGAAGAGGCCCCGGGGCCCTGGGTGAGTTCAAAGCAGACCTGTGAAGTGAGGGGGCTGGGGCAGGGCTGGGGGAGGAGGTGAGAAGTCAGCAAGGGGCAGAGAAAGACAGCTTCACTTTGATGTCCCCCCACCCAGAGCCTGGGGCAGGAGCTGGGCAGGTCCCTGCAGACCAGAGCCTTTGGGCCTTCTCCTTCACCCCAAGCCCTTAGAGACCCAGTGAACCACCCTTTCCCATCCCTCCAAGGAGGAGGCTTTTCCAATGCCTGAGCCTGGGACACACCGGCTTGTGAAAGCACGCACGCACCCGATGCACGTGCGTGCCCTGCGCACACGCATGTCCTGCTTGCTCACAAGTGGCCCCACGGCACACACAAGCCCTGCCCCTGAGTGCACATGCAGCCACACGCAGTCAGGGGCGGAGGGCCAAGCCAGTCTCCATTTCTAGGCCCGGGACAAACTCAGAGCTGGGGTGGGGGAGGGCCATTGAATCACTGACTCCAGAGGTCTCCCCCGCGGTCTGGGCTCTCCTCAAAGGGACCCGCAGCAGGTCTGGGGCGCTGCTGTGCCAGGAGCCAGTCATGCCAGGCTCCTCACAATACCCTGAAGAAATCTCTCAGGAGAGAGCGAAGTCCCCCGGGAGACCGATCAGCCTCTCCAGGGCAGGGCAGCCCCGGGGACACTGGCCAACAGCCCTGCCCTGGCTGCTGGTTTGCCATATGGCTCAGGGCAGATTATTCTGGGTCAGTGTAGCAAAAAAGGTGCCTTTGTTAATGCAGGGGAGCAGCCCTGGAGTGAAGACCCAGCCTTTCTCCCGTATTTTCCCCCAAGCGCACTCCTACAGCTTTAATTCAAAAGGCATTTACCAGGCTCCAATCTGAGGTGGGGGAGGGGGTTACCAAAAAAAAAAAAAAAAACGTACAGGTGTCTGCCCAGGTGTGCTCTGCTGAGGCATTCCTTCTAAGCCCTGGGGGCACATGAGATCAGGCTTCCGCTACTGGTCCTCTTCACTAAACTGTCACCTGTGTTGGGTGGACAGGGACCTTGGGTCCCAGGCTGGGTACAGTTGGCTGATTCTGCTCATTTCAGGCTGCCAGTGCTGGGGACACTCAGGCCACCTGCTTCCAGCTGGCTTTTGGCTGGAGGTCAGATCTCATCCATACTTCAGTCCAGCCCTAACTGGTAGCTACCTCCTAGTCTCGGCCCCCAATTCCTTCCCAATTTTCCCTAGTTTGGTTCCCCTGGTGAGAGCAACTGTTTCTTACCCCATCAGAGTCAGGGAACCTGGTGGCTTTCTAAAGAGATAGGCCCATAGCCTCTCCCACAGGGTCTCTATCTGGCTTAGGGCCCAAGTGGGAACAACTTGGGGGGGGAGGGGAGACCAGATTTGGGGAACACTGTGAGCTCACTGGCTCTCCGATGTTCCTAGCTGCAAAGGGCCTGAGTGCCCACATCTTTCTGGGAGAAACAAAGATCTGGATTACCTGGGGGGTCTTGACCTTGGACTTTATCCTCACATGTCCTGAGCAATTTTATTCATGACAGCTGCCATCAGTTGTGACCTGACCAGAGCCAGACTGGTTCCTGCCCACCTCTCAGGCCCCTTGTGATAGGTCAAGGCTGAGGTAGTCTGACATGGTTGAAGGTTAACCATTTTCACCAAAGTTTAGGGTCAGATTAATGAAGGCCATTATTCCACCTGCACAGACTTCTATTAGACAAACATGCCGGAGCAAGCAGGCCCCAAGCAATCCCTACCCTGTGTACTATGAGGTCAATAGAGCTCTCGCTCTGAAATCTGTGGGTGTCCTGACCACCGTTTTGCAGACTGCCAGGGTGCTAGTGGCTGGGTCCTGCTTGGCTTTCCTGCTGGCCTCAGGTGAGCAGGAATCCTCTTTGGAGGTGGTTGGCCACGGGGCAGTTTCTGGACCATGCTATGCCAACCCCCAATGATTGCCTGGCCGGGCTTCTCAGAACCTGTTCAATCAGGAGAGTGGGAAGGATCTCTAAAATATTTTAGTCAATCTTTAAAACATTTCTCTCAAGAGAGCTTATTTTAATGTGAATCACAGGTATCCTAGTGTGATCCTACATTTCTATGATGCTCAGCAGATGGCAAACCTTGCCAATCTAAAAAGGGTTGAGGTTTCCTTTTTCTTTTCTTTTCTTTTCTTTTTTTTTTTTTCGGGTAGGTTGGTGGGTGGGAGAACTTGAGGTTTAGTCCATGTGCTCAAGCCTTGGTTCAAAATCTGGCTGTGACAATTACCAGCCGAGCGACCTTGGCTATGACCTCACTTCCCCATGCCTTCATTTCCTTATCCGTAAGTGGAGATTAATAGGAGTGCCTACTTTCCAAAGTCGTTGTGCCAATTAAAGGAGATAGTAAGCACATATAAGATGCATGACCCTCTGAACCAGCTCCTTGTGAGTATTTGAGTTCGGGGCCCCTGTTTGCAGACCCCTGCACGAGGGTTTCCGGCCATCCCTCCTTTGAGACAAGGGATTCTTGTTTTACAAGCCTTTTACTTTGGGATGGGGCCATGACTTATCTCCTGATTTTGTGCCATCTTATCCCTGCGCAACCTTAGATGGACTCCTCCACTCGCGGGAGGTATACTTAAGAATGAAATCTTGTGTGGCCTTCCCTTGTTCCTGCCCAGAGGTCCTGGAAAGCTGAGCAGATGGGGCAAAGTGAGTTTGTCCGGGACTGTGCCCATAGCATCCCCTCAGTGGCTGCCCCTCCCTTGCCTCCTCCTCGGGCTGCTGGTCTCACAGAGAGCTGGTCCCCGAAGATTGAAGTGTATTGAAGTGTGCGTCTGAGGTTCCCAGAGCCTACGGGCTTTTCTTTCCACCAGCCACCAGTCCATCCATCCCTTTGCTCACTCCATCATTTAGTGATCACCTACTATCTGGCAAGCAGCGGCAGGTGCTTGGAAAGGAAGGAAAGCAAACCACAGAACTGTAGCGAGATTCATCCCTGTGACTTGGAGCAAGACATTTGCCTTGTTAGGCCTCCGTTTCCCCGCAGATTTAATCACCTGACTTAATGACTTTTGTCTGGACTTTCTTTCTCCTGCGACTTTGTCCTCCACCCTCTAAAACTTCCCAGGCCATCTGCAAACGGCGGCGGTCTGCCAACCTCGCATGAATCCTGGAGAAAGCCCCTTAACAGTGTCTGTAAACCATAAAAGTTTCCAGAGAGGGGGTCAAAGTGTGGAGGTGTAAAGGAGGATGGCCATGAGGGGGGGAAGAGGGGAGTGAGGTCTGGTCTGCGTGGGGGCTGGGAGGGCAGGAGGGGGAGGGTGGGGGCCAGACCAGCCTGCCTGCGGGGAGGGCTTGCCAGATGCTCAGAACATCCTGCGAAATCTCACACCCTCCTTGCCCCCCACCCGTCCTGGCTCCAGGCTCCAGCTCGGGCTCCATTTCAATCTGCATAATTCGCCCCATTTCTAGTGGATGGGAGGGGGTGAGAATGGGAGGGTGAGGAGGTCTGTGGAGGGGCTGCTCCAAAGGCCAGAGGAAAGCAGAGCCCGAGGCTGAGGCTGGGAAGAAGGTGGGTGGCAGCCAGAGGGTGGAGGCGGGGCCGCGAGGAGGGCAGGCTGCAAGCCCCAGATAATATTCTGCCCAGGGCAGCAGGGCTCCATTCCGTCCACTTGCCCAGGGAGGAGAAGGAGGAAAGAAGAAAAAAAAAAGTGGGCTGTAACTTAAAGATCTTAAGACTCCCAAGTGAGGGGTTGGTCTGGAGGTGGGAGGAGGGAGTGACCAGACACGGAGGAGACGGAGACTCAGGAGGGCGCAGGGAAGCGGCTTAGCTGAGGCCAGGACTCGGCAGGCAGGAGAGGGTGGGGGGACGGCTGGGCCCCAGGCAGCTCCTCGGCGGCTCCCTGGGGGGCTCTGGACGCCCTCAGCCCTTCCCGCCTGCCCTCTGAGCCGGTGCCGGCCTCAGCCTCGGGGCTGGTCCCCCGGGCCCCTTGCCCGGCCTCTGTCGGCTGCCGGCATGGAGGAGGCTGGCGATTTCGACAACTACTACGGCGCCGACAACCAGTCCGAGTGCGAGTACGCGGACTGGAAGTCATCGGGCGCCCTCATCCCCGCCATCTACATGCTGGTCTTCCTCCTGGGCACCACGGGCAACGGCCTGGTGCTCTGGACCGTGTTCCGCAGCAGCCGCGAGAAGAGGCGCTCAGCCGACATCTTCATCGCCAGCCTGGCCGTGGCCGACCTGACCTTCGTGGTGACCCTGCCGCTCTGGGCCACCTACACGTACCGGGGCTATGACTGGCCCTTCGGCACCTTCGCCTGCAAGCTCAGCAGCTACGTGATCTTCGTCAACATGTACGCCAGCGTCTTCTGCCTCACCGGGCTCAGCTTCGACCGCTACCTGGCCATCGTGAGGCCCGTGGCCAACGCTCGCCTGAGGCTGCGGGTCAGCGGGGCCGTGGCCACGGCGGTGCTGTGGGTGCTGGCCGCCCTGCTGGCCCTGCCGGTCATGGTGTTCCGCTCCACCGGGGACCTGGAGAACAGCACCAAGGTGCAGTGCTACATGGACTACTCCATGGTGGCCACCGCCAGCTCCGAGTGGGCCTGGGAGGTGGGCCTGGGGGTGTCGTCCACCGCCGTGGGCTTCGTGGTGCCCTTCACCGTCATGCTCACCTGCTACTTCTTCATCGCCCAAACCATCGCCGGCCACTTCCGCAAGGAGCGCATCGAGGGCCTGCGGAAGCGGCGGCGGCTGCTCAGCATCATCGTGGTGCTGGTGGTGACCTTCGCGCTCTGCTGGATGCCCTACCACCTGGTGAAGACGCTCTACATGCTGGGCGGCCTGCTGCACTGGCCCTGCGACCTCGACATCTTCCTCATGAACGTCTTCCCCTACTGCACCTGCATCAGCTACGTCAACAGCTGCCTCAACCCCTTCCTCTATGCCTTCTTCGACCCGCGCTTCCGCCAGGCCTGCGCGTCCATGCTCTGCTGCGGCCGGAGCAGGTGCGGGGCGGCCTCCCACAGCAGCAGCGGGGAGAAGTCGGCCAGCTACTCCTCCGGCCACAGCCAGGGGCCCGGCCCCAACTCGGGGAAGGGTGCAGAGCAGATGCACGAGAAGTCCATCCCCTACAGCCAAGAGACCCTCGTGGTTGACTAGGGCTGGCGCCTGCCCGGCCTTCCCCTGCTCTCTGAAAGTCAGGTAGCATGACAGCACCTTCTCCCTCGCACTCCACCCTTTCCCCTGCTCCCTGCCCCCCTGCCGCCTCTTGTCCTCCCTCCTTCTTGAGGCTTCTTTAGAGGTTTGTGGTTGAGTGGGAGGAGACTGAGCCCTGCAGGCTCCTGCTCGGCCACTCGGTATCCGTGTGACGGACCTTGCACGAGTGTCTTGACCCCTCTGGGCCTCCGTTTCCCCATTTGTATATACAACAAGGGAAGTTGTGCTGGCTCAACTGAACTGGGTTGCCCCCACTCCTTTTCTTGGATCTCCAGCTTTTCCTTTTCCCTCCTTTCTTCCTAATGCCCTGTCGCTTCTCCCTGCGCCTACTTTCTCCTCTGTCTGCACTTTCCAGCCTGAATTGTCACCTGCTGGCTCCAACCCGGTCTCTGGGTCTCCGGGTCTCTGGGTCTCCGGTCTCCGGTCTCCGGGACACACCTCCTCTTTAATCCCTCCTTCTTCCCCTATTCACCTCCCTGGTTCTGCAGGGCTTCCAAGGGTTAAGAATCCTGAAGCTTGCACACACTCTCTGGCTCCCCAAGAGTGAAGGAGGGACCGGGGCTGGTGTCAGCAAAGTTAGTTCCAGGCTATGCAGCTGGGAGCTCCAGAACTTTCTTGCAAACCGGACCATTTCACTGTAGTTTCGGGCACTAAGGATCCCAGAAGGGGGCCTTGCTTCCTGCAGCCCCTCCTTGATGCCAACTAGATGTGCTTTTTTTTTTGCAGATTTCCTCTCATTCAACCTCTATTCCTCATGGCAATCGGAAGTCCACGGGGTTGGTGATGGGACTGCCGGCTCCTAGGTGTCATTCTATGAGTGGGGAGTCGGGAAGGCAACGTCGAGGAAGAAGGGAGTCCGTATTTAGTCTATATGCTGCTTGGCTTCCCTTTCCAATTCCTCACCCCTCCAACCTTCTCTAGAACTGGGACCTGCAGGTGTCCCCACCACAGCCTGGCATCTCCAGGCAGGACACTTTTCTTGAGCACTGGTGCTGCTGGGTGCCAAGAGTTATGTGTGTGCGTGTGTGTGTGTGCTTGTGTGTGTACACAGATGAGTATAACAGGAAGAGCAGTGTGCCTGTGTCACTCGTCACTTGGGTGAACTACCCCCTTACTCTCTACTCTCTAATCTCTACCACTTCTCCACTCTGCTTGCAGCATCCTTGGGGAAAGAGGGACATAGTGAGGCAATATAGAACAAAAATGAGTTCACCCCTTCCCCCACTGGATTTGGGGGCTCTGACGGCTGGTCCGTGCTTTAAGAGAGATGTTCCTGTTAGGGCTGGGACCCCTCTGGGGAGATCTGTCCCCAAGGCAGTGGTCCCAAGCCCTGGGGAAACCCAATGTGCTGGGTGCCATCATTCCTAGTTCCATGAGGGAAGCAGGAGGTGGTTAAGAGCTTGCCTTGGCTCCTTTCCCACACCTCTCCCCTCTGCTCTGAGTCCATGAGTGTGTTCCCTACCACTCTTCCCTTTCCCCGGGTCTGTGGCCCCCTCCCTAAGGAACATGCCTTCTCCCTTTGCCTGGGGTGATAAGCACTGGGTGGGGTTTTTGTCACCTCACCACCAGGATGGGACCCATTGGCCTCTCCTGCTGGGCTGGGGGGCTGGGAACGATGACTGGAGCAGCTGTGGCAGGGCTGAAGGCATGACTTCAAGCCACCAGAGAGGCCTCAAGGACAAAATTGATGGTGGGGCCTTTGTGGGCTGGAGGCAGGGGTGTGTATATTCCAGGTTTTGTTCTTGGAGGCCTCCCGACAGGACGTGAAGGACAAGATTTGCGCCATGGAGGCAGGAAGAGCCCGGCGTGGTGTAAATGGAGAGCTTGACCATCCCTGGGATGGCGCCAGCTCCAGGAGCCGAGGGAGGAGGAGAAAGGAAGAGGCTCTCCTCAGCTTAATCTCCCCCTTGCAGACTGGAATCTTCCACAGACTCCCTTTCTCAGCCCAGGGCTGTCCTCAAAGCATGCGGTCAAGGTTGGAGGAAGCTACCAGAAGTGAAGAGGGTGCCTTTCTGAGGCCTTCCTCAGTGACCCCAGAGACCTCTTGCCTGGAACTCACTGGTGGCCCTGGACAGAGGATGGAGGCTCCCTCATCCCCTACCAGCCCCCTCTTTGGAACGTCTCTGCTATGTTTTCTGACCCTGATAGTCACTTCGGTTCATTCAATAAATCTGTTTTGTGTAATTGCTGTGTCCAGAGCCTCTTCTCACACAAGTGTCGTGGAATGAGGAAAGGCCCCCCTGTTTGCAGATGTCCCAGTGGGAGGTGACTTGGGCTGAGGGGGCACAGGAGGGAAGTAGGAGCTAATGGGAGTCAGGTGGGAAACTGGAATGGGAGAGGGGAGATGGGCAGAACTTGGGACAACTAGACCCAGGGCAGGGGTGGGAGTGAGCCCAGGAGAAGCACAGGAAATAAAGGCTGGGGTGGGGGGTGAGGTGGGGATAGGGTGGGGGTGGACAGCAGCTCAGATTTCCTGCTCGAAAATCGTGGGACAAATGGGTGCATATTTTGGAGTCCTGAGCGCAGGCCCTGGGAAAATGTTAGCATTCATTCATTCACTCCTTCACTCATTCATTGTCCCGTGAGCATCCAGTTAGCTTAGATGAGAAGTTCAGGTGCTGGCCTCCAGTTAGTGCTCACTAACTGGAGGCCAGCACCTGAACTTCTCATACCTGTCCCTGAGCAGCACCCCAGACCTCAGGAATCCAAATCTTCTGGACCCATCCTGGATGTTCCAACTGCTAGAAGCTCCTAAGATGATTTCCAGGGGGAGAGGCCAGGCTTGGGGACATCCCCATCCACACAGATCCTGTGGGCAAATGAAGGAGGGGTACACAGAAGACCAGCGGGTCAGAGACAGGAAACCGGGCTCTGGAGGGTCATTGATTTGGGAGAGGAAGAGTCTGAAACCATCCCCGGAGGGAAACACTAGGTGCAGAGGTGTTCGTCACCTTCCATGAGGACTTGGGGGACTGGCCGTGTCTGCCGATGACACGAAAGCAATCAGTGCAGTAGAAGGGACAGGAGCGAGAGTCACCGCGGTGTGTGCTAAGCACTTCCAAACATGTTGTCTAATCCTTGCAGTGCTCTGAGCGAGGCCTCCTAGACACTCATTCTGCTGACAAGGAAGCCAAGGCTCAGAGAGGTTAGTCACGGACTTGAGCGAGGTGACACAGCTAGTGCACGGAAGAACGAGGTCAGGACAGTTCAGGTTGTCCGCTCCCAAAGCCCACACTCTTGGCCACTGTTTCTCCTAAAGCACAAGTGAGGCAGGGCCGGGTGGTTGGGAAGGAGAGTGGGGGCTCATTGGTAAGGCACCAGCACAGGGACCGGGTCAGGATGGGGAGGGGAGAGGGATGGTGGGGAGTGCATGAGAGATAGAGACAGAGAAAAGGAGAGAGACAGAGACAAAGACAGAGATAGAGACAGAGAGAGACAGAGACAGAGAGATAGAGATGGAGACAGAGACAGAGACAGAGGTAGAGACAGAGAGACAGGAGAGAGAGATAGAGACAGAGATAGAGACAAAGATATAGGGATAGAGAGAGACAGTGACAGAGAGATAGAGACAGAGAAGGGGAAGGAGACTGAGGCAGAGAGAGACAGAGAAACAGAGAGAGAGTGAGGGGAGAGAAGGAGACAGGATGTGGAGAGAGAGAGAAGTTAAGGGGGGAGCAGTGGGTAGCAGTAGTGGTGGGAGGCAGGGAGGGAGCTGGACAGGGTGTCACAGCTTGTTTCCAAGTCTTTGGAAGCACATCAGGGAAAACCCAGCAGGAATTTACAACTGCAACAACAAACGATTTGAGGTTTTTTCTTCTCTTTTTTACAGATGCTGTAAAAGAAAAATACCTCACTAACCCTCCAGGGAAATTTGAGGTAAGTTATCCAAAAAATCATAAGATTGTAGAGCAGTTAATAATTCATTTGTCCACAGTTTCTTCATTTCTTCACCCACTCACCCACTCACGTGGTTACCCATCCAGCCCTTATTGACTACTTGGGTGACAAGCAGCGGGGTGGGCACAGGAGTAAATGGTGCACAGGACCCGGTGGGCTGCGGGCTGGTGGAGACAGTGAGAGGGGCATTTATAATCAGCAAGCTCTAAGCAGGGAGCATAAAGGTGCTTTGAGGGCCTAATGGAGGCAGTGGGATGCGTGTAGGCAGGCTGCCAGGGCAGACTTCAGAGTGCTTGCCGGGTGGTGGTGGTGGTGGTGGTGGTGTGCTCTGTGCAGAGGGATTATCCAGAGACCAGAAGGAGCACAGCCCCTGTGAGGAACTGCAAAGGTCCTCATCTGTGCTTTCTGTCACCCCCACCAGCTCTGGGAGGGGAGCCAAGCAGAGGAACAGAGAAAAATCTGCGCAGGTCTCAGAGAATGGATGACGGCAGATTGGGGCGGGACTATAGTCCAGGTCTCTAGACAGCTTGGGGGCCAGGGATTGTTTTTTAGAAGATGACTTCCGTTTCCCCCTGCCTGGGTTTGAACTGTTTTCCTTGAAGATAAAAGCCAGGGCCTCCTAGACAGGTGCTGGGAGTTCTGTCCTCTTACACTGTGCTCGTTAGAGAAGGATGCTGCAAGGGGGGGCCGATGGATCCCTGGGGAAGACCACCCCCAGAAGCCAAGATGACACAGCATGACAGGACCTAGATGTGACATCTGCCTTTCTCAGCTGGCACCACTCTGTCTTAACGCCAGGCAGTTGGAAGCTTGCGGGGCCTGATGCAGCAGGTGCAGCTCTCGTGAATTATTGCTCAAATGCTTATAAAGTCTCTGTAAGCAACGTTGGAGACAACAACAACGGAAGCTTAGAATCGAGTTGGCAATAAAGGAGTCTCAGACACGTTGGGCTGACTAGTTATAAAGAGGTTGCGAGAGTCTCAAGCAATGGTTGTTGATTTATTCATTCAACAAACTTTTTGTTCAGTGCCTACTATGTGCCTGGGCTGTCTTAGAACCTGGGGATACAGAGATGAACCTGCCACCATCCCTGGCTTCATGGAGTGACATGGAGAGCCTTACCTTCCACGTAAGGCTCTGCGGAGGGTGAGGATTTGTACGCAGGCAGACAGCAGGGAAGGGGCAGAGGTGGGACTAGAACTCATGCTTCCCGCTGCCAGGCAAGAGCATGGCTCATGGCTCCAGGTTTAGGAAACGGAGAATGTCTTTTATTGAGACTATGAAGAGCAACTGGCGAGGGTCAGAAAGATGATGGACTGCCAGCTGGGGTGGGGGAGGGCACAAAGATGCTTGAAGATGATTATTCACATTTCCTGTTACTACACCTTTTGTTTTGGATTTACAGAAAAATTGCTAATTTAATTCAGAGAGTTTCCATATATTCCACGTCTAGCATCCTTATTATTGACATCTTACATTAGCATGACCCTCTTGTCTTCATTAATGAATCTCTCTCTCTATATATATTTTTTTTCATGGATAAATTCTTTATTTAGATGCTTCAGTGATCAAGAGACAGAGCATAAACACACACACATACACACACACACAATATGTAAAGCCATTTCACAGGCAAAGGGATAGGCAATGGGGGGAAGAGGCCACAGAGCAGCTATGGGCTTCTCTGACTCAACAAAGGGGTGCCTATGATGGTTGTCACCTCTTCGAATTGCTGCTTGAAAGCTACAAGGAAAAATCCACTTCCAGTGAAGTCCCAGGCCATAAAACACAGCAGAGTAGGAGAAATCTAAGTTTGGGGCCTGGGGAACATCTTTTTCCTCATTGCCAAAACCTGTACCAGCTCTCCTCTCTTTCCCTGGGGGTCCTATTCTGTTCACTGGCCCCCCTTGGAGCTTTCCATGAGGCCTCCTCCCCTTCTAGTTTTTCCCCAGCTGCTGCAGATCCTTAGCACCATTCAGGAACTGTGGAGAAGGGGCAGGAGGGACGGCATTGCTCTGCCAGGACTATATCACTGCTCCAGGAGGAAACTTCATGGTCGGCAGGATGCTCTATACCTGGCCAGCATCTGGTCCCAGGCTCAGGAAAGCCTGTAATTTTGGGGGAAAGGGGAAGTGTCATATTAGCTCCAAGCTTCCATGGGGCAGCCACTTCCATCTACCCCTTGTCACCTAGGCCAAGGTCTGCTGTGAAAGCTCCAGGTTTCACTGGAGCTGCCTAGAGCCTGGGGAGCTCAGTTCGTTAGCTGTAGAGACTGGTTCAAAACTGAGCTGCAGAGGAAAGACAGGCCTGGGGCTCATGACATATGGCCCAAGGGGGCTGGGGAAGGGGAAAGGCCATCCTCCAAACTACTCTCCTGTGAGGACCAAGATCCACCCCCTTCCCTTGTCCTGACCTACAGGGCCCATTCTACAGGGGAAGAGCAGGGGTGGATGTGCCTGGACCAATCAGAGGCTATCTGTGCTCCACTCCTGCCTTAGGCCTCTGTGTTCTCCAGGTAGAAGAAGTGAGGAAGAGGGAGCCAAGGGCTGACCATGGTAATGGGAAGCTGGCTCATGGCTGGTTCAACCTGCGGTGCTGGACAGAAACATCTCTAGTCTCCCAAGGTGGCTGAGTCTTTCTCAATGGCCTGCCTGCCTTTGCATTGGAATCTGGCCCAGGTGTGATGCCATCGCTTTTGGTGACTAGTTCTTGTGTTTGCAGCCACTGACATGAGCTTGATACCGTTCTATGGAGTTGAGCATTATCTTACACATCTTGCAGGGGTGGGCCTTCTCAGCTGATGCGTCAGCAATAGCAGGGTCTGCCAGCCGCCCATAGTGTGCCGTGAATTTGAGCTGGTTTCCTGTTTCCTGTGTTTCTTGCCCACATAATGTTATTGAGCCATGACAGGGTCATTGTAAGTTGCATGGCCGAGGCTGCAGAACTTCACTGGGCCTATCATCTCTCTATCCTGGTACAAGGCTAAGGTGGAGGCCCCAGGGAAAGGGTTTGCAAAGCATTTTGACAGAGCTTCCACCTTAGTGGATTGCTGCTGCAGCTCTAAGTTCTTTGTGTGGGTCTTAGATAGTTGCGACGGGGCCACCACAGGGGAGGAACAGGTCATGTTACAGAAGGGGCAGCACTGGTTCTTGTCTTTGCTTCTGCTATTCTGACCTGAGTCTAGCTTCTTCATTTCCCCTTTTAATGTCTCCATTCCATGGATTGCTAGGCATCTCTTCACTTTGTTGGCATGTTTTTTGCTCTGGTAGCATGCCAGCTCC